CCCTTATTTTTCAGTTTTCCACCATATGAATAGGGTTAAACAGGCTATGTGGAACCACATATGGGCAGGTACCTTTGTCCTTCATTCACATGAGTTTTTGATGCAGAGTATAGTATTGCATTGCTGGACCAAAGACATTAAAAGGCCGATAAACTAATAAATGTTGGACTTTGCTTAAGGTAAAACTTTCAATGTAAGACTTGAGATAAAATTTTTCATCAGCGGGGGGGCTAGCCATGTGGTATGAATGGTTAAACCCTGGCAAAGTTTGCCAGGATGGCAACGTGCCATTCACTGTAATACTAAGGATGATATCACCACTTACATAGGAATGATTCATAATTGCCATGCAACAAAATAACATAGTTTGGTCTGACTGACAGAGTGTTTCACTTTATGAATAAATTGTCAATTCTGTGCACTAAAGGTTGGCCACCAGTAATATGTGAAATATTTGTTCAGTCAAACCAACATCAGCTAAATCCTTCAGTGTCTGATGCAATGATGGCTCTTGAAACTGAAAACTAAATGCCAGAACCTACCAGACCAGCTTCTCTGACCTCCTTTATTTTTTTCCTTTCAGATAGCAACGTTATCAACAGATGGCACAGAATCCCCAAAATACAATTAATATAGAACTATAAATTGGAAGTGAAATCCTCAGAGAGATGAGATCAGCCAAAGCGGGTCATTTTCAGGCTTTGTCCCCTGGTGTTAATGCCTTGTGTATTACACAAGATGCTTGGTAGAATCCAATATATAGTTAAGGCTGCAAACAGTTTGAATTTTTGCCACTGTGTGATACTTATGATGTATGCCTGTTAAAAAAAAGCATAAGCAAGAAAAGCTGAATTTTGAAACCTGCACATAATTCTCTTCGAGAGCTAGTCCTGTTGCTCAGAAAAAATAAAACAACAAAAATAAAACAAAACATAAATAATAAAACTGAACAAGTTCAGCAAAAAGTCGTACATCTCTTCTGGGTGCACTATAAGATATGCATTTGCTTCAAGTTGATTTCCTTTATGATTTGCTTCAAGTTGATTTATCTCCCCCCCCCCTTTAAAATAGTGTTAATAGGACAAAACATTTGCAAAATATTTTTTTTAAATATCCAAAATCTAAAGAATTTCAAAAAGGCACATTGCTCTGTTACACTAAGTACAGGCAGTCCCAAAGCCTGAGGCTGAATCAATTCAATCTTCACAGGTTAGTCTAAACTGTGTAGACAGAACTGATGAGCAAGTGAACAGACATTCACTTTTGATTCTGTAAAGGCCTGCAGTAGCCCAGGCCAGAATCTGGGGAGAGGAGAAGGCGGGGTGCTAGAGCATGCCTCCCTGCTCCGTTGAAGCAGACAGTTTAAGCTAAGGGTAGCCCGCCCACCCTGTAAGGGGGGCAGTTTGTGGGGGAGGTGCAAAGCATCCTGGGTTGCTGGGGGACTGTGGCTAAGCGCAAGGCAGAATCGGTTCAATCTTCACAGGTTTTTCTAATCTGCATAACTTGAACCAATAACAAATTAAGCTGAGGTTCAGTGTTTGGGTGGCTAAGATAGGCAGAAGCCTGCACTGGACAGGCCAGGAGCCTGGGGACACTCAAGTGCACCACCCTTCATAGCCAGCTGGCTAAGACTGTCAAGCACAGCCCAGTGGTAGCCCAGGCCTGATTGGCTGCTGGACACATGCCACCTTCTCCTTTTGTAGCTGACTGGGAGGGGAGACCCAGCAGAAAATCTCTCCCCAGCTCCCGACTCTGACACAATGGTGGGGAGGAGGACCACACCATCTGGCCCTGTCTCCCCCTGCTAGGGCCAGCCTTGCATAGGCAAGGCACCCACTGGGGGGGCTTTTCACCCTCCCCCCCTCTGCAGCCTGGCTAGCAGGGCTCTGATTGGCTCAGCCCCACTCTCTCCACAGTCCCATGCCTGTGAGAGGTGGTGGGTAGAAATGCACACAGCCAGGGTCTGCCCAGAGTTAGGGAA